GCAAACCCCTAGTTCATTACAAGTTCTATCCTAACACAAATTGTGCACTTCTAATACAATAAGAACACCTAAAATAACTAGGACTACAGGAAGTTAAGTCATTCCAGGACTCCCCCTCCAACACCTATAAATACATAACCTAACCTCATTATTCAGGTATGTTTTTACATAATATTTCGATATACATGTTTTACACATAGTTCTCTATCTGACTTAAGCATCGGAGGGGCGACGAGGCCACCCCTCGACGCCTTTGTTTCAGGTACCGGAATGCCTCATTCGTGCTTGTTCTCAGTTGTTGGGCTCGAGATCAACAGGTACGATTTTTGGCATCATCAGTATGTTTTGGAAAAAAAATTTAAAATCTGTCCATTGCACTTTCCCGTTCTTTATGTTATGTCTGTGCATACAAATGAATAGTTTCCCCTGACCATCTTTCTCTAACCCATCTGCTTGGATCATAAACCTAAAGTATTTGAACTTTTCTCAAGTCTTTAAGGGCCTGTTTGAGAATTTCGCCGTATCGATTATAAACGTTTTTTTAAAGTACTGATTTTGAGCGTTTATGAGTGGATCGATTTTAAGTGATTTTATTAATGGTTTTTAAAATTCTCCAACCTATGCTTGTGAGTTTATTATTCGTCGATTCTGAATTTTTTTTAAAAGAATAAAATTATGTATATATCCCTTAGTAAAGTTTTCTTTTGTATGAATTTTTTTTTACTTATAAGTGATATTTTACTTATTGATAATTTTTTACTTACAAGTAAATTTTATTCTTTTAAATAAATTTTAAGTGAATTTTTTTTTGCCTATAAGTAATTTTTCTTATATTTTACAAGTGAATTTTGTCTTATTAGTAGTCTTTTTATTTTATAACAATTTTTGTACATAAAAGTGATTTTTTACTTATAAGTAATTTTTAATTATAATATAAATTTTCTTATCCTACAAGTAATATTTTACTTATAAGTATTTTTTAATTATAATATAATTTTTTAAATGATAAATAATTTTTTCGTTAATACATTTTTATTCACAATTTAATTTTGAACAAAATATATTGATTGAAAATAATTATTATATAAATGGTAAATTTAGGAAACGGTCAAAACCCAAAAAAATATTTGGCAAACACCGATTTTTTAAACACCTCATAAGCGGTGCCACCCAAAACCGATCAAAATTGGTGAAAAAAAAGGTCCCAAGGAGGCCTTAATAGAGGAAATTAGATAGCACTGGCTAACATTAAAGAAGAAAACCAGAATTCAAATAAGCAAGACAATCGACGACATAAAGTACAACAAAGAAAAGCCTGAAGAATGCTCTAGGGGATGGGCGGGGCAGGGCCAGGCGCGGCGGTTGGACCTTTTTAAGAAAAGCCCGAGGAATTTAAATAGGCTTTAGAAAATGAAAACAAACATTGCACACAGTTCCTAATCCTAGGTGAAAACAGAAATAGATTCTTAGTATTCTGCACTTGTAGGGAGCTGCTCATGGCTCTGGTTAATGAACAAGATTTCATAGACCAGAGCAGCAATTCCGGCACCGACAAATGGACCGAGCCAGTAGACCCAGTGGCTGTCCCATGTCCAGCTGACCACAGCAGGGCCGAAAGAAACGGCCGGGTTCATGGAAGCACCATCGAAGGCACCACCGGCTAAGATGTTGGCACCCACAATGAAGCCAATGGCAATGGGGGCAATTATCCCTAAATTACCCTTCTTTGGATCAACTGCAGTAGCATAAACTGTGTAAACAAGTCCAAAGGTCATCACTATCTCAAAAACGAGTGCATTCCAAACCGTCACTCCTGATGAAAGTGCAAAAGCTGATGTTTCCTACAATCAAGGATTGAATATTAGTCTACTTTTTCACAATAATGGACTCGACTGGACAGTACAGTATATAAGATTCAACTTACGAGTCCACCAGTGGCAAACTTAAGAAGCAAGCATGCAACAACAGATCCAAGCAATTGAGCAATCCAGTATAGGATGCTCCTAAACAATGTGATGTGACCACCAACAAAGGCACCAAAGGTGACAGCAGGGTTCACGTGGCCGCCGGAGATGTTGGCACCGACGGAAACAGCTACAAAAAGTGCGAAAGCATGTGCTATTGATGCAGCAAGGAGGCCAGCCGGCGTTGTCGATCCATTGTCTGTAAGCTTAGCTGTGGAAAGGTAAAAAACTTCATGATTTAATTCTTGTTTTTCAACAACTTAAATTTTTGTTCAGCAGAACTACTTACCGAAAGCCATGCCAGAGCCTTCACCGGCAAAAACAAAAATCAACATTGAAATGAACTCAGCCACGGCAGCCTTGATGGCATCCGGTTGACTGGCCTCCACCGGAGATCCGATAGCGATTCTTGAAATCGGCATTTTTCTTTCAAATTTCAGCCTTAAAAACTCAATAGAAAGCCTATAAGCTGCCCCCTCTTTACCTCTTTGTTTTGCTTCTTACACTGATCTCATTTAACAATAGCAGCTTTTTATAGTGGACTAATAAAAGGGCCTTTCTTGGATGCCACTTGTAATTGTCTGTGACGGGGCCGCCAAATTGTTGTGGAGTTGCCACGTGGCATTGAATGGATTAAATATATAGCCATCCAGCCAATTATAGTGTAGAGTGAAGATGGAAAATTCTGGTAGCCGACCAAAAGTTTGAGAATTTAGGTCCACAAATGATTGTTCATAATATTTGATTAACCGACCATTTCTTGATTATTAGTCTAGCTATGCTCGTGACTATGACCATTCTAGTTGAAGTGTGGAAAATTTCGAACAGTCGAAACAATACTCTTGAGGATCCGTTAATGAGTAAGCTCAACAGAAATTAGTATAAGAAGTTGTGAATAGAATTTAGCATAAGATGTCGCGAATAGAAACTCACTAAGAAAGTGAGTATTAAAAATTACTTATAAGAAAACCAACTTTTCTACTCAAATCTCCAACCCGCCACCCTCTCCCGACAACAGACAATCATGCGGATTTTGGTCGGTCTGAACTGTACCACAACTCAAGCCGGACGGCAAATTATGGGCCACAAATTTTTTTTCTTGCATATTTTGTTAGCTTTAGTTTCTAATTATACAGATAAAATAATTATAATTCTATTTCTAATCAAAAGTTCCTTTAAAAGCCAGCTTAAGATGGATTTTTATGACATAAGAAGGTCCCTTAATGAGTTGTTTGTTTAATTTATCCAAAATAATTAATTATATAGTTTGGAGGGGTAAGACATTAATTACCAAAACATGCTATCGCCAACCAATTTCTTTTGTTTTAAAATGGAGACTAAAGGTTTCTTTTCAAATCCTAACATCGATTTTTTTTTTTAATTACTTTTATCTTTTTTCAATAATTAATGTTGAAAAAAATTCTATGAGAATCACAATTCGTAGGTAACATTTCTAGTAATTAGGTCGACGCGTTACAAGAATTTTTAAGGGTGTGCTCAATATTTAGTAGTAGATAAACGATATTTAGAATAATCGGTGGGATTTTAACCTTTTTTTGTTTTCCTTTTTTTAATCATATATTGTAGAATTTATCAAACGCAATATATAAAGTTAAATTTGAGTACAAAAAAAAAAAAAAAAAAATCATTAATCCACAAGACGTGTGTTAATTTGTGTTAGCTCTTTATTAATTCCTAAATAAAGACATTGATAAATCAATTATAGATAAAGATCATATCAAGCCTTTGTTTTGGAAATATTTATAAATAAATAGATATAAACGAAGAATAAGTGAATAGTAATTGTAAGTCCATTGAAATATATAATTTAAAATGAAATTTTATCATTTATACATCAGATTTTTTGAAAATTTTGATAAAATTTGATTTTATAAATTGCGAGTCCTATAAAATGTGTGATTAAAATTAGTTGTTGATTTTGATTTATATTAAAATCTGGATTTTAATTCTACCAAACAGGGGCTGAATTAAGCCCGGATTACCAATCCTACAAATAAGTTTATTTTATCAGAGCTTATAAATATGTTAAACTTGTATAAGTAACTTTTTGTAACTTTTTTTTATTTTACATATTTTTTTTATAATTAAATTCTTTTATTTCTGAATACTAAATAATGTCCATATTGTCAATATCAGTGTTATTTCTCCACAAAAACAAAATTAATCTTGGGTCATGTTTTACCTATAACAGTTCGATCCCAAAGTTGAGATAGAATTTAGGACCATTCTTGGTGTACTGAATTTTTTTTTTTTGTCAATTTTACGGACCACAGACAACATAGGTGAGACCCTCATTTTTTGGAATATTTTATTGACAATGGGCCCCACATCCATGTGACACATCCGGTGAAATTATGTGAAATTTTTTCTGTACACAT